CATTGTTTAATCATCATACTCCACAACCAAACACTTACAACAACAATGTGACTGCATTGTCTGTGTCACAGCAACATTCCTATTCCAATAGTAACAGCGTGGATTATAACTCTCTCTACTTTGATTCCAAAGATAATGTCATTAATCCTTTGTGGGTTCAGTACCCCTGTGCAAATAATAACAATTCTTTAGAAATGCAAACTCCATTGCTTTCTTCCCAGCCATTGGCAATCCAACAAAATGTTGGTGAAGTTTATGATGATATGCCTCCTATTTTTGATTCAGTTGATGATAGACAATCATATATCTATTCCAAGGAGGCTTACGAGTCAAGGTAGATTAATTGATTAATCATGTTTTACATTTGGTTAATGACAATGATGAAGTTTAAACTTTACTTTCTTTGAGTGTTTATCTTAGATCAAATCAATCCCCTTCACTTTCAGTCATTTTTAAGCATTGATAATGTAGATTTTAGGGCTTCTAAAACAGTTTGTCACCATGTTAATGTGATAAATTAAGGGATAAACTAATCAAGTAATAGAAACTGATCATGATTTATAACCGTGTAACATTTTTATAGTCAGAAAATAAAACAGTAGATAAAAATGCAACTATAGGCATCCCTAAAATACAGATAAATATCATTCATCAGTTAGCAAAACAAACAGCTAGGCTTATTTCTTATGGAATAATTTTCATATTTATACATCAATTTCCAATATATAAAATGAAATGTTCATATATTTAATACTGTATTTGTACATCTGTGCCTGCAGTTCAGAAGAATCATTCAAAGATATGAGAAAGTGCACTGAGCATGTTTCTGATAATGAATTGAAGAGTGCTGCAGCCTGCTTTAGCCTTACCAGTGTCAACTAATCAGCAATCTGTGTCTCCTCTTCCATCAACAAATGAAATATATACTAGGTTTCCAAGTTTGGATTCTTTTGTTCTTGGTAAGCTTTTGATAGAATTTTTTTATAGACTTTACAAATTTAGAGGTAGATACCTTCCATTGCATTGATTATCAAATTGCATTGGTTATATGCAAAGGCAAATAATAATATCCAAACTAGATATTTTCATCAATCTCTATGCAAAAAGTATTTCAATGTTCTTAGTAGGTAGCCTGTATAGAGGTATGTTCTCAAGTATGGAATAAAATTTAGTAAAGTACTAAAATTATTGGTCTGTACAACATTTTTTCTATAGAACAGCATTTTAAACCAGAAAATTTACTACACTCGATGTATTCTTTATATGAACCTATAATATTATTTTATCTATATAATAACCAAATTTATCAATATTACTTAAATTTATTCAATCACATTAATATTATATATTTATTTTATTATACTTTTTATACAAAATTTAAAATAAAGAATAATCAATTAATAAAATATTTCATGAAATTCAAAGATTTAATTTTATAATAGTGGTTGTTTGATTTGTCAAATTTAAAATTAATGGATATGTCATTAAAATATTTAATATTATTATATACTTTATACAAAATTTAAAAAATTAATCAAATTTAAAATATTTAAAAAAATATAAATTATCAAATAATTTAATTATTGTTGTTATTTATTAAATAATTTATGCAATATGTAAAATTTATTTCAAGTTAACAACCAGGAAGAAGATACATTTAACAATAGTCGAAATTTTATTTTATTTTGTTTTATCTAATTTAACATTATAATGAAAATTCATTATATTAAATATGTTTATGATACGCAATTTATACATAAATTTTAAATAACATGAAATAAATAATAATTAATGAATAAAATATTTCATGAAATTCAAAATTTTAATTTACAATTGCTTTTATATAACTAGTATATAGTCAGTGCACTGCATGAGATATATCACGATTGTCAATAATTAAATATTTTATACATATATTTAAATTATCATTATATATTTTATACACTTTAATTATGTTTAAAAAATATAAAATAAGCCACAGCACATTATACACTATCAAAAAAATAATTAAAAAAAATAAAAATTTATCATTAATTTTATAAACATTTAACATAATAATGCACATTCTTTAAATTAGTCTAGGCTCAAATAATCAATAGATAAAATAATTATCAATGGTTGCAACTATTACATTGAGGTTAATGTACTGTTACACCCTTTAAAAAATTTTATTTCACTTGCACCTTTATGTGTTTTAAAACAATTTAAAAACATAATTTTGTAATTCTAATTAATGTCTCTATATAGTGTAATCTACCACTACGAATTACAAGTACCATGCACAGTTTTCAATTTTCAAAAGATCTTTTCTACCAGGTTTTGTTTTCAAAATTAAAGAGATGAAAACTAACCCATTTTTCTGTTTATTTAGAACATAAATTCAACTTTAGCAAGATTAGAGACATTGATAATTTTTTTTAAAATATATAATTTGTAAGAGTTGTCTAATTTGTATTGTCTTCTCACCTTTCTTCCTTTTTTTTATATATATTCTTATTTCAATTATGCTCGTAAATGTGGCATTGTTCATAATACAGTTGAATCTCTTATTCCTAATTGTAATTGTTGGGTTTAGTTTTTGTTTTGTGTTCTATGTATATTTGGGGCGTTTTTGTATTCATGATTTCATCAATCTCACTACCATTTTTTTTTTATCTTACACTTCTTCATACAAACTAATTTTTAACTCCTTAACAATTTACTAAGATAATTTTTTTCAAGTCATATATGCATAATGTTTTAACATATATTATACCCACATTCTGATTTTCAGGCATTTGTTTCATATGAAACATTTTAAACAAATTGGAGAGAAGATATTGAATGGCTTTAGAGTATATGAAGTTGAGAAAATAATCTTTGTTAGAGTAATTAAAAAAAAAATACCAATCCAACTTAATTATATTTCTTCATATATGCCATTTTTCAGTAATTTTAAATTTCATTTCATTTTTTTATTATCAGATCATTTTATTTTGTTTACTTTTATCTATACTAACCTTTCTTGGAACATTGTAAATAGAAAAAAAATTGCCTAGCTGTGTGATATCAAGTGGTCAGGTATATTATTTATAAAAACACATGAAAAGTTTATTTGACTTTTTTTTATATAAATGTCCAAGATTAGTAAAATAGTTGACAAGTTTTTCTGCATGCTAAAAAATGTTCCACTAAATATATCTAAACAATTTATATGAAACAAAATAGTTTTTTATTATTGTTTATACTCTATTTATCAATAATTATATAAAAAAAAAGACAAAAAAAATGAAGTGAATTTTTCTCTTAATCTATTAGGTTTGCTGTCCTTTAGTTTTTGTGTTTTTTTGCTATCTGAGTTTTCTGAAATTTTTATTTTTTATTTTTATATTACAAGTTAGATTTTAGGTATAGATTTAAATACGCTTTTAGGTCTTACAAATACTTGTTAGTTATAAATCTTTATCATTTTTAAGTTGTTCTTTTCTAATCCTTATACTAGTAACTAGAGCTAGTTTAACGTTAAAAAATATTAATTATTTAATATAATTAAGATAATAAATAATATTTTAAATTAAGATAACTAGATTTTTTACATAATTTAATTAAATAATATATTTTTTTAAGAAAAGGAAATAATTACCTTAATTAATTAATTAATGTATTCTATTTTTAGTACTAAATTGAATGATTGAAAAAAAAAGGGTTAGGATGTGTCAGGGGATGTGTCAGGGATTTAAGATCAACCAATATTTTTGTAAGGACTATTACTAAAAATATATTTAAATCTTAGGTATATTACTAAAGATTTTTTTTTATGTAATGGTTAATATGTAAAAACCATTTCAATGAAACTAATGCCAATTAAATTTAACTTTTAATTTGGCATTCCTTAATTTACTCTCATCAACAACATGACGTGTTTTTAAAAATAAATTTTTAAATTATGGTTAAAAATTGATTAAAAATATTTAAAGTCTCTCTTTTTTTTTTTTTTTTTTAAAGGGACTTTCACCCCTGTAAAAATTGAATTTTGATCTCTACTGTCATTGAAACAAGTTCAGTTACTACTTATATGATTGCCGAAACCGAACTCATAACACTCATTAGTGTGTATTTTACAAGTGTATCCTTCAAGAAGTATTTTCCACTTGAGTTACTTAAATTCAATATGTTTGTGGTCTATTGAACCTGAAAACCTCTGGCCTTTGTGTGGATTGGAAGGTAGGTATTAGCGAGTAAAAAAGAAATAAAAGAAAAAGAAAAATAATAGATTGAGAAATCTACGCATTGAAGACAAAATAAACGGCTATGTTCGCGTCAGACTAAAATTATTGTAATTATATACGCTTTTCTATTTATTCATGAAAAGATTTGTAAAAATCAAATCAATCCATTGATAATTTGTGAATAATTGTCAGAAAAAAAATCAAATAATAAAGTAATTCAAATGAATTGATAAATTAATTAATCACAATAAAATATTTTTAAAATTAATATTATGATCAAAGAAAATAATGTTAATAATTTTGTTAAATGATCAAAGTGGAAAATTAAATTAATTAATTGAATGATTGTTACAAGCTATATATATATTTATTGATATTATAAATTGTAGATATTAAACGTTTATATTTGGTATAACTCTTATAATAATTTGTGTGGGAGTATGTGGGGGAAGTTAACCCTCTTTGCTTATTCAATAATAGAAACAATCACTTCATTATGTGCGAGTTTATTCTTATTTAGAATCTAGTTACTATTGCATTCAGCGACAAGGTGGACAACAAATATCTTGTAGAACGATGTCACGAATGATATTTCATGCTTTTCAAATTAAAGATGAAATGATGACTCTAGTGTTATGCAAAGCAATATCAATTAAATGTCATGGACAAGATATTTAAATAGGAATGACTATTTAGGCACAAGCAAAACAGATAAACATTAAATGTTTAACAATTTAATGTTTAAATACAAAAAAGTGAGGGAGAAGTAACTGTATGCCCTCAATGGAAGAATCATAGAACTCTAGTGTTGTAGGAACCACAGCTAGGGCATTTGTGGTAGAGCCAGTGGAAGGGGGTCGCTCCTTTCTTTTCACAGTCATTACATAATATAACCTGCAGCTCTTATAATCAGAGTATGCATTCTGAGAAACCACACAATAACTCACCATAATAAGAAAAATAACTGACAAACCTGAGTTTGACCTGAAATCTCATCAGAAATTCTCTCTTCAGCCAATAACGCATCTAACATCCTAAAATATACCTGAGTTTTCGACAATATGAACAATATATCTTCACATGGGTTATATGAAACTCTCTCTCCAGCGCGTTAGTAATGTGAAATTCAATGGCAAACGTGTTTTCAAAAATATGCTCAATATATCTTATTATAGGATACATGATACCATTAAATAATAACTGACCTGCATGTCTCCAAGTGACTTGCTACATATTGGGCAGGTATAATTAAAGCATGTATATTCCTGGAAGTAACCAGCACAAATGCTACTAAAGTTGTTTCTGCATATGCCGGATGTTTGTGAGGGGGGGAAAAAATACAAGGAAGTACCTGAAAACATGTTGAGTGCATCACATGGCCACATGGGAGGGCTTTTACCGGAGAGCAGGATGTGAAGATATATTCATGACAAATTGGACAGTTGTCCTCTAAATGTTTCTCTCTGCAAGTATGCATCATAAGAGAACGAGACATACAAGCATTGCAATTCATACAGTGAAAGTAGTCAACACCCAAACCCTTTCCAACTCGGCAAATGTTACAGTAAGGACAATGGTAAATTTCCCTGTTGAGCATTTCAAAGGTTCGGATTAGCAATAGCTAAAATAAATGATAAAAGAACTGCGGTAACAAAACGTGGAAGTTTAGCATAGCTAGATAAGGTGACTCTTTGACAAACAAGCATTACCTTCATGCACTTGACCATTTTCATTGAGAACTTGGAATATAGTATAGCTACGACCCATTTTTGTTACTGTTTTAGGAGTTAGGAAAGAAAGGAAAATGAATCGAAAGGATTGCGTGGATGATAAAAGATAAATCTTAACCTTGTTTGGATGTTACCAATTTACAAAATGAAAGAAATGGATGGTTAGTTAAATTGTTGGATTTTTAATTTTGATGATTATTGTTATTATTTACAGCATGTGATAAAAATGTGAGCTAATTTGAATAAATTACATGTGTCAAATAATCTATTTAATGGTGAGGCATTTACATAAAATTGATAAGGTGCTTAAAGTAATGTCTTTTTACTTGTGAATGAATTGAATCAATTAATATTGTATTGTATCTATAACAACATAAAGAATATCCTCATTTAATGTACACATTTGGTGTGCTGCTTTTCCTTTCAAGAAATATTATCCTTCAACTGGAAACCGTCAAATCTAAAAAAAAACATTCACACATTCCGTTTTTATCTCATTTTCTACAAATTAACCAGACCCTATTTTATTCATGCGCAAGAGTTCTCTCTAAATTGACCCGTATGAACTACGGGTCTAAACGAATTACAGAGTGAAATGTCTAGCCCACCCCAAGTTTGTTATGAGAAGTTTGCAGGAAGGCCTGCACAACCCGCCAACGCCTACATAGTTAATGTTAATGGAGATAATTTCTACTTTTGATTATGATCCAATTTTATCGAGGAAAAATCCCTTTCCCACCTTCAAAATATCACAAATTTGAAATATGATATCATGTAAATACAGTGTAAACTAGCAACGACAATAAAATCTACTGGGCAAACTAGTGAATATATATATATATATATATGTGTGTGTGTGTGTGTATATATATATAGAAGAGGATTTTTGTGTTTTGGTTAAAAAAAGGGCAAGAGTATGTGTAGCATTCTACAAACTTTGTATGGACTAAGATTGCTCTATTTCATGTAGAGGCAGAGTTTTTGTGGTGTGGTGTCTTCGAGTGAAAGAGATCATTGCACTGGGTATTTGGACTAAAGATAAAACGAAGGTTGTCATAGAGTGCAGCCATCAAGACAAGAGCTCTTAGGGATATCCCACATTGATTATAGAAATAACCAATGTAATCTTTTAAAGTTTGGTCAATCCTTATTTAACAAGTCCTTTTTGTGGGTGAGTTAAACCCTAAGTTTATATTCTAAAATGATATTAAAGTTTAACCTATATATCTACTATTGAGTCAACTCTTATTAGGTTTGGATATGGATAGTTCTCACCTTTGTTGAGTCAATGCTTATAAAGTTTGGATAGTTCTCACCTTACGGACCTATTTAGCAAGTTTGAATTAATTCCTAAACTTAAATTTTAGAATAGGCATTCACATATTTGCTATCTGGTAGCATATAATTTAATAACGCTCTGGAGTGGACTGTGTCTCTTTATGTGTAGAGAGGTTAGACTATCAATACTAATTAAAATCAAAACTATTATCGTAGTTACACGAAGTCATCAATGAATAGCATTGTTACATTTTGCATTTAATCAACGATACTTATGTTATGTTGTTGATGTCAATCAATTAGTTATTAGCTGCTTCATTGACTCCAATTATCTCTTAAACTAATGGGATCTATACCATAAATAAGAGATTAGTGTGCAATCCTGGACAATTCTCTAAATCTATCAAATGTTTTATGGGATGGGTATTTTCATTGAATCCGCCAATGGATTAAAAGTAAAAAATTAATGAATTTTTCTCTTAAGGTAAAGTATAAAAAGAGACTAATTAAGCTACTTTACCTTTCATCATCAAATAATTTGCAGATTCTGCAGTAATATTTTCCCATCGATAAATTACAATAACTTGTTGAGCATGTGGCCCCGATTGGTTGAATCATCAAGCACTTCATACACATCATCTTTGTAATAGATTTTCTACACATATACAGGCAATTGGTCAATGATCAAAATAGAAGTTCTCAATTAAAAAAAAAAAAGTAAATATGGTTTTCTTGTAACCTAAAGTATCTTTACCTATCTATTGAATGATCTGATTCCTCGTTATGACAATGTATGCAGGTATGAAGTTGGTTGCAACATGGAGCAAAAAGTTTACAGTTCCTCTTGTAGTGTTTACAACCGTAGATTAGTTTGAGAGGATCCCTGTAAGATGGATGCTTTCCAGGAAATTCCGGTTCATCATTTTTTATACTGACTTCTGTAGAAGAGATCTGCTGTCTAATAATCCAACGGCTGAAATTATGTGGAAAGTAACGTTAAACTCCACAAGAGGGAATCTATTGCTTGAAATAAATTACCGAAAGCTGCAATTAAGCTCCCCATATCACATGTATTCACTTAAGAAAGAATATACCGTCTCACCGGCGGATCTTGACCATTGATTTTTGAGGGTCAAATAAAATATTATTAATAAATAATAAATAAATAAATATAAAAGGGTGAAAGAAGATGAAAATGTGAGAGGATAAAATTGTAAATATATAAATAAATATATTAAATGATCATTAAGTTGAAGGGAACAAAATTATAAATTATATGAGAGTTAGAAATAATGAAAGGATAAAATTATAAATATACAAGTAAATATATTAAATGATTATTAAGTTTGAGGAGGCCAAAATCATAAATTACATAGGAGTTAGGGTGATGACCCCTCAACTCTCAAAAAGATCCGCCATCTGTATCGTCTTCTGTCAAATATAAAAAATATCAATATTCTACATTGCTTTTACAATATCTCACTTAAATTTCACAGGCACTCAAAATCAACTATGCAAGGCATAATCATCTGATTCACAAGGACTAGCAAAGGTTTACTCCATTCCAAAATTAATGGTGAGGAAAATTATGCAAAGTTCATAACCTTGTCATTGCGGAATATTAGAATTAGCTTATTTTACTAGTTAAAAAAACCTTTCAAAGTAAAACTCTACATATTTTGATAATCTTAAAAATCAAAATAAGCACTGAAACTGCCTAAGTATCATGGTAATTGTATTGTTTTTCGGCACTAAAACTGACAACTAAAACCAACTAGGGATAAATTTTTCCTCCAAAATTGGAGATGAAACCTAGTTTTTAACCAACTCTCTCAAAAGCTTAAGTTGGTTACAAAGGTTCTAATACCATGTCATTTACCAACTCTCCCATAAGCTTCAAATGTTAGGTGAAGGCATGTGAATGGATCTTTAACTTACATCTATAAATAAAAAAATAATAATAAAAAAACCCACAAGAAAATCACAAATAACACCAACCTCATCAGTAGGTTCTGTATTATGTACGACTTTTTCTGAGGATCTAAGCTAGAGTCACGAGACACCCTTCTTATCACCGTCTCCAAATCATCTTGGCTTAATTTCAGAAGTCGGTCATAACGCCCAGACTTGTCACAGAGTTGAGAAGACTTACCTTCATTGATTACCGGATTTATGATATCTGCTGCCTCATTGCAAGCATGTTTGTTGTCATGAAATTGACTTTTGCATTTTGAACATTGATTATTATTTTGTTCTGCATTATGAACCTTAACTTCATCATTGAGGTTGTAGTTAGATAGCTCAACATTATTACCAATACGATCATTTTCCAAAAAAATTATGCTTTTGTTGGCAGATGATTCTTCTTGTAATTCATTTAGAAATTCTTCAGATAAATATTTGGATATAATCTCCAGTGGCTCAACAGGCTGAAGAGGAGCATCATTTGAGCTCTCTTTTACCTTAGCTAAACTGTACCCATCCCACCATTCACCTAACCATTCATCGAACATGGTATTTTTAGTAGCCATGGACCATAAGAACATTAAAACATGTTGCTCTTCCTGTGTCAAAGATGCCATTAGCCAAGGTATCATATCTTGTAATATTTCGGCTCTTATTCTTCCAAGCATGCATCCTATGATCTTCCCTTGTTCCTGACTTGTGAAGAAGTTTCTAATTATAGGCCAAATTTCTATTTCCTCGCGGTTTATATGACTGGAAAGTGATGTGTGCATTGATTTGCACATTTCTAGTAGCTTCCTGCATAGATGCTGATACCTTGGCAGTCCCTTCTGTTTTGTATTTGAATCAATTGTAGAAACTGAAAGATTTAATCCAGAAATCTTATCAAGGATGCGAGATATTTTATTCAAGTGTTCAACTTCATGTTTGTGATCAAAAGTGTAGGCATGGCTAATGTTTTTTAGTTTACCTCTTGCCTCCAAGGCTGGAAATACTATCTCATCCTCTGCATCACTATGGATTTGATGAAGAAAATATATGAGATGGAATCGTTTTTGGAAATCCATAAGCAACATATCATTTTTTTCTAATTGGGCTGAGCCAAGAACTAGGAACTCCAAATCTTTCTTGATTGCTTTGTGAAAGAAAAATATTAGGTCAATTGGTTTCGGATCATCAAGAAAGGAAATAGAAGATCGTTCTGCTCCATATAATGCAGGATACTGATGTAACTTCCCAATTGCGTCAGGAAAAAATATGTGCAGATTAATTCCTGTGGAGTACGGTATCTCATACTTCTTTACATTACTGGGTCCAGAAGAGGAGGAACAGGACAAAGAATTCTGGTCAGAGACTTTATGAGGCTGCTTTGCAGAATTTAAGAAAGAAAATCCATGAGCTTCCTTAATTTGTTCAGGTGAAAAAAAGCATCTTCTTTTGAACATATGTTGCAAGTCTAGTCTGAATTTTTCAATAGAGGCTTTACCTGAGTAACCAATGCGGAACCACTCATGTAACAGTGATGAAAAAGCTTTACATACAGAATGGTTTCCTTTCTTTATGCAATACAGAATGGACCTAGCATCTTTTTCAGACAAGCGAACTGAAAACCAAGTTATAACACATTTTAGTAACCCCAGAGGCATCATATGTAGGCTCAAGCTTAGAAGTCTCTCTTGCATTCCATTTCTGCAGTTCTTTCTAAAGATAGGAAATACCTGATAAAACAAATAAGGGTCCCCAAATGGTAAATATTTGATATGTCAGCATGTAGCATCCCTCTCGTGTAGGAAATTCATTTTGTTGAAAAATATGCAAGTCTGTAAATTGAATTTTTCACAAAAAAATAGATTTTTTTTCTCTATCACTTCTTGTTCTTCCATTCACTCAGAGTAAGGGACATTTCATTCTATGGAGTACATCATACATCAATGTGTTCAAAAGCACAACATTTAAATATTTTATAAACCTGTGAAGTTAAACTGAAGGGCTAAGGATTATTTCCATATTATTAATTTCATTCCCTCCCTGGCTTCCTTGGTAAAGAAACAATAGTGATTTAAATAAAATACCTCATTTTCTTGAAAAGCAAATTGTTTGTTGACTCCTGATACAAATGATTCAAGTTTTTGGCAAAGCTTTTCTACGAACTTGCTCAATGGCTCACTTTCTGAGTTATAGAATAGCAAATGTTGTATATCTTCAATGTTACTTTCACCAAGAAATTGTTCAATAGACTTGGACAACCAGCCATAAGCATATTTACTCAGTACAGGATGAAAGAATTTCTTCTGAGCATTGCTGTAATAATTACATTGAGAAATTAGATAATTGAAAACTACAATAATAAGCATTTTAGATAGCAGAGAAAGATAGGCCTTCAGGAACTTCAGCAAATAACATAAAACAAATTAGTCAGATTCCACACACACCAAAAAAGAAATTGTCAGAAGCACTACCTGTAGAAGATGAGGACGTCGGCAAAGAATTTTAGTTGGATAAGTATTGAGTCTAAATTCTGAAAACAGCTGGATTTTCTTAGTAAATGAAGTTCTTTCAGAATTTCCTTCAAATCTTTCTTGATGGCATTATGCCAAAGATGAAGGACATTAACCTGGTTGGCCTCATCTATGTCTCGGCCACTCACTTTCATCAGACTTAAAATTTCTTCGGTTGTCCTATTATAACTCAGCTCTAGTGATCTTTCTATATGTAGGAAACCATCAACACCTTGAAATTCTCCTCTCTGTAAACAAGTCTCAGTAAAGGTTTGTTGGCTGCTTCTAAGCCAATAAAGCAAAACCTTCACAATGATATCTGAATTAGTATAAAATGGAAGTTTATTAAAATATATTAAATATGAACTGTGGCCTACCTCTTGCAGTGTTTTTTCCATTGGTGCAATTTCATTTAAACACTGAGTAACTTCTGATTTTTTGCTTGCAGAAAGGAAGGATACCATCCATGGCAAAACTTCCTCCAGCAACATTATAGGAACACTACATATGAATTGCCACACAAGTGAGGCCTGTTCTTCAGTAGATAATTTCTGCACCAACAGGGGAAAAACCTGCAGCAGTTGACGTGTTTGATAATGTGAGAGTTTCAGAATTCCAGAATGTACATATACTTGCTCTTGCAGAAGATATGTACGTTAGATAATATGGTCATAATTTAAAATAGGCCACAAAATGTAATTTATAAGTATTGCTTGTTTTCTTGTTTTACCCCCATCATACATTTCCTTATCCTAGAATGAACTAAATAGTTCAGATGTTCAGAGATAATTGCAATAAACAAAGCATATGAACAATAAATTAATTGGTGCAAAACTAAATTTTAACCATGCACCTAAGATAAAGGTATAACAAGGCAAATAGCAAGTCATAATTGATACCCACGTTAACATTTTAATTAGTCAGATAAATGTCTGTTCAACATTGGTTTGCCTTGTCCATGCCTAAAGTTTTCTTTAAGTGAATCTATTCATAACAACATGTGACCTGAGTAAGCTCCAAGTTAAAAGAGAATGTTATATTACTAATCAAGAGTCGTTAGCATACTAATATAGATTTGTTATCTAATACTGGAAAATGGAGGGAAAGGACTCGCATGCCCTTATTTTAAAGCATATTTTAGAAGAAATTGTTGGTTCTTTTTATAAGGCATAATATCTATACAATTTTATTTTTTTTCCTTTTTTTCCCCAATTAAATATTATGAATAGTGAGAATATAATTTTAAAAATCATTAATAATAAAGGTTAATTTGGTACATTGGTAATATTTTTTCTAAACTTCAGCTAAAATAATTTTTTCCATTGGTATGTATAAATATGGTTAGAAGTGCCTTATATGGGAGTATATTATAAAAAAAATTGTCTTATATACAATGTTGATGTCAAGAGATAAATGGAATGTGTTTAAAGTGCATTTAATGAAACAAGTATTTGTTTATGCTCTCTATTTTATTACTTTTGTATTTTTTTTCTTTCCATTTGCATTTTATATTTCATTCACGTATATTATTATATATACTTATAAATAACCCTTAGAATGTTAACCGTTACAAATATAAATAACTACATAAATACAATTCAATATTCTTAAGGATGTTTATTATGCATTCAATCTCCATTAAGTACTTTATGACCGCATATTACTCATCAGTATTTAAACCAACAAAAGCAAAAGAAATTGACCACGTTAATGCATTTGTATCAGTAAAATAAATGAGGAAAGAACATTTCATGTAAGTAGAGTATAATTTCATGAATCACAATAATTGCAAACAGTCACCTGCTCTTCTTCTTTCAGCATATGTTGGTAGATGTAGGTTTGCAATATGCCAATAGAGCACACAAGTTCTTGGAACAGCATGGAAATATTCTCTTTAGGAACCATCAGCTCATCCAAGAAGTGAAAAACAGACCCAAAAAGATCAGAGGTGCTGTTATGTTCAAGGGAATATGTACAGATGACATTTTTCACATGAGCATCCAGTGCAAGAAAGATAACCTGCCAAAAAAAGTTTCAAAACATTTCAGCTCCAAAAATGCACTCGCAGACATGAACATACTTGAGAATAGTATGGAGCGAGAAAGAAGACAGTGTATCCTCTTTTGAGGCATCAATGGTATTTCTAGTTCTTTGCTGAAATAGGACAAGAATGAGTAAAAGGTACATTTAGTTCCTGAAATTGCATTTCACTATCATATTAATCCTTGAAACTAAGAAAAACTCAAATAAGTCCCTGAACTTAACTTTCTTTTTTTCATTTTAGTGGGGAAACTTCAGTCATAATAATAAGATATGTTTAGAGACAAAATTAAATAAATAAATAATTGTGGAGATTTAGATGAAACCCTGATAAATTTCGAGGACTTCTTTGAGTTTTCTTTAATTTTAGGGACTAAGAGTATGTTTAATGAGAGTTTTTTTTATCAATAAAAACATTATACTAATTTAGTCCCACAAACATAAGTTTCTTAAAATTTAATAAAGTTCCTTACATTCATTAAGAAACTTCATTTTAAGAAATTCTTTTAAGGAATTCTCATGGAAGTTACTATGGTATAAAATGAAATACAATTTTATCATTGAATTCATTATTCATTATATGATAGTACATATTTTCTCCACACATGTATAATACAATTAACACATTTTCCATATCCTTTCTTTTAGTTTTAAACTCATTCCATTTAGTAATAATAAATTGGGTAACTTAGATATTTACTTTAATTTTGTATTTTTCTTACTTTTACTTATTTTGGCTATAACTTCTTTTGCAGATTTTTTTTTCTCATTCAAGTTACATTAGATTCTATATTTATAGGATTTTGAAATGGATATATGATTTGTTGAATTTGAAGTTTTATGCTATTTTCTACCACTTTTAGAAATTAATACAGATTTATTGAAATTTTGTAAAGCAATTCACACAAATTATAATTTCTTTGTATTAGCTTAACTTTTGCAATTACGCTTACACCTAATTAGATTTAGGTTCATGTTTACTTCACACTTTAGAGCATATAAATAAATTAAATGTGCTCTAAACTCATCCAAAAATCATTTTATTAGTTTTTCACTCTAGGAAAAGTCTCCCTATCTTTTCATTTTCTCTTCTCTCTCATTTTTATTTTGTCTTTCCCATTCTTTTCTTCTTCTTTTTTGTTCGAATTGGTTTATGTTTTTCTTTCATAGAAAACTAAATCTTAAGGATCAATTCACGGAACCAAAATTAATCAAGCCAAATTGAGTTTGCAACAATTGTTTCTCACTCCAAATTTATTCTTCTCTGCTCTAATCTCGATTTTGCACTTTATGGTATCAATTTGTGATTCTAATTTTAGAAATTGGAATCGATTAAATCTTGATTTGATAATTAAATACTTTATTTAATTGTATAGCTAATTTAGTTGATTCATTGAATCCATTAATTGTTCAAATTTGAATTAAAGTTTATAGAAAACTATAATAAGAGGATTATTTTGTTGTTGAAATCATAAATTAATCCATTTCTTTTTTTTTTTTCGGTTTTACTCTTTAATTTTTGTTTCAATTGAATTTTACATCTTTAAATCCCTAGAACCCCAAATCTATTTTGAATGCGAAAAAAACCGAAAATTGAATATATGTCAATATATCTTTAAGAAAAATGACTTAAATTTGTGCTTTATATAACAAAGTTTCAGAGAAAATCTTTCACTTCATGAAAATCAAGGCAAGTGTACCTTCAACAGAAACCCAACAATGTAAAACTTAAAGAAGTTCCCTTTGTCATACTTGATTTAAGTAATTGAGATTTCTAATTTAATTTTTCTTGTAAAAGTAAAAATCGATACATAAGTGAAACACCAATAGCAATTTATATAAATATTGTTATTGCATTACAAAATCCCGGTATCATAATTGTGGAACATTTCTGGTTGTATAAGAATTATTTAGAAGTAGCATAGATTCACTTAAAATAAAACACAAACAAAAGTACGTTAATTCTTCAGACACATCTATATATCAAATATTCCATGAACTCTCAATATTTCTCACATCAGCAATCGCAAAATTGGAAATCATAGCTCCAAGAATAGCAAGTAATTGTTTGTTACAAACTAAACTACTCTCACAAGTAACATATATTTTCCCAACAACATCTACTCCTTAGCAACGAAACAAATCCTTAGCAAATAAACAGAGCGTAGACTGAAACTGACCTCGTCTTCCGCAGCACAGTGATAACTAAGAGCTAGTTTCAGAAACTGGAACCTGCGTTGAAGCTGGAGGATATATTGTCGGCAACGGCGTGGCTCATCCTCCAACGACGCCGTCTCCGCCAAGCGACGAAGGTGATCAAGTTCAGAGCGAAAAGCCTTGTGGAAGCAAACGAATATGAGTATGGGAGCATCGACGATTGGAATTCGCGACAGAATGTCCGCCACGTCTTCCTCATCGTTCTCCTCCTCTTTATCGGACAGGGAAGGATCGCCGTCGTCCATCCACGGCAGAAGTTCCGGCAGCAAGCACCATCAACGGCGAAAGTGACGAAAGGGAGGTTCTGATGGGAGAGTGGCATGGGATTTATCTCTCGCTCCAGTAATTTTTTTTATGCGAAAAAATGAAAAAAAAAAAAAGAAAAAAAAAAAGGAGAGTGACGCTGACAACTAGAAAGAGACCTCCTAACCAACGGCCGAGAGCGTCTGCGTCTTGGGCTTCGGATTTATGATATGATATAAAGAAGGAGGTGGCATGAAGAGTGCCTCTTCTGGGGTTCAATAATTGACGCGTCACTGGGACGCGCGTTTTAATTAATGCCTTGGCGCGCTCACAATTGCTTTGAATAATAATGGTGTGAATTTTAGTTACTTTTTTTATGTTGTGGTTTGTTTTGGAGCTTTCAACAAGCGAGGCTTGGTGTGGGTCAGGGGTAGGGTTCGGGTCTAGGTCGTGGCCATGTCCATGCTTTTTACCAGTCAGTCTCGCAAACTACAGCAGAAGGAGGGCTCGTTCCATGCCGGCTCTAGAGGTAAGTTGTCGATCATCATCGATAGTTTCTATTTTTTTAATTTAAAACAAAATTAGTTCCCATAGATATAATGTGAAATATATTATTTTCTAATACTTGGTTTTAAAATTTGCAACCTAAGATACCATTTGACTTGACTTATTGCTATTATTCAATTATGTGACCGACTATCGTAGGTTTAATAAGAATATACCCCTCTAAAGTCTTTGGAATTAACTATTTAACATAAGTATACATAGGCTTGTTAATAAAATGCCAAACTAAAATATTATGATAAATATCAAATTAGAAATGTCAAAACCGCTGTCTTGTCTAATTTGATATTAAGAAATAAATAAAAAATTAATAATCTAATTTTATTTATGTTTTAAAATGGATTATAAATATAATCTGATTAAAAATAAAAAATATTAACGTGTTTATATTGAAATAATTAATTACAAAAATAAATTAAAATAACTACTTTTTTAATTTAAATTATACTAATAAAATTAATTTTTATTTAAAATATACTAATTTAATATATAAATTATAATAGAATAAATTCATTTAATTTTAAAATGAGAATTAAAAACTTAATTTTAATTATAATTATTTATTTTTTAATAATTTATTAATTTTAAATAAAAACTAATCTTAATTTTAAAATAAATAATTATTATATATTTTTTAAATAAATTAAGTTTTTATCAAATTAATTTATATATATATATATATATATATTAATCAAATAATCTTATTTTATTTATATTTAAAAACTAATTATTATTCTATTACTAAGTGGTTTAACCGAAGCTTATCTAATATTGGAGTTTAATATTTGTCAGGCGACATCGTCATCATTAACCATCTTATTATCATGCAGTGGTAATGATCTTGCATGTTAATTTTGTCATGGAAAGTTCTATATCAATTAATCTAGGTTTTTCTTTTAATTGAATCTCTTTTTTTAACTTGTGTAAGATTGTTCTAAATAAGAAAAAATAGTTAAAATTATTACAATATTATATATTTTTGGTATATTTTCTCACATCACTTAAGATTAGAATAATTTACATATATTTACAATTAAGATTCGATATGTAAGATAATTTACATATATCTTTATGTTTTTAATTTATCGAAACATATTAAAAAAAAATGGATAAGAGTTTTAGAATAGACAATGCTTCAAACATAACAATTGATTCACATTTTTAAGTAATGACTTGTATTACACTACTCTTTCACATATGAATAATTTTAAAATTGTATGATTAAATTTGATTATAAATATGAGAAAAAATATATAATTTATTAGATTAATATTATATAAATAATTTAATAACTAAATTAAATTATTTAGTGTGTAATTTGAAATAATCTTTATTATTTAGGTTCAATTGATAAGATTAATGTAGTCTAGATGAAAAGTAGTATTTTAGGTTTATTTATATTAAAAAGAACAATTTTAAACCATTTGGTTTAAGTTGTGAATTTTATAAAAATTATTATTTTATGTATTTCACTAAAATGCACATTATATTTAAATGCTCAAGTCAGTGAAAAAGGGTTTAATTATTGAAGGTCCACGCTCAAGTGAATATGACTTTCATATTGCTCACCATTGCTTTGGATTTGGATTTTTCCATTTAAAAAGTTCAGGTTTGATAGGAAACTTAAAAATACAATCCTACTTACCTCTACCGAGCAGTTACATTTAAATTTAAATTATAAAATATTAATTAATTTTATATTTTTTCTTTCTTTTTCAAATTAAACAACATAATTTTTTTCTTGTCCCACATCATTCCCTCCTCCACCTTTCCCAACCACGAAATACACGCTTACAACACTATTATATTTATTTTTAAACAAAAATTCAATATATTATATTTATAATTAGAAAATATCCACTACACTTTAAGATTTGAAAATACTTTTAAGATTATAATAAATAACAAATACTTTTGACATAAAATTAGTGTTTAAGATGTGAAAATAAATTTAGTTGGATAAAAAAAATATAAGAAATAAATTAGGTTATCCAAAAAGTTTCGTAGTGCAAATTAAATAAATTTTAGGTTGATTGATTCAGACAGCTTATACAAACTTAAATCAAATTAACTTGATCAATCTTATAAAATAATAATATTTTTTAAATAAAACTAAAAATAATATCATTTAATTAATAAAATATAATATATATTATAAATTATTCTAATAAGATATTGATCTTATTTTATAAATAAATATTATAATAAATTTTTTAAAATTATTGATTCAAATATTTAATAGTTAAAATTAATTATTTTTGAAATGAATAAATTATAAAAAAAATTGATAATAAAAAATATATTTTTAATTCTTATATTAAGATTAAATAGATCTATAATCTTATAATTAACATGTTAAATTATTATAATTTTAATAAAAAATAATTATATTAATAAAAATTTTAATTTTTAATTAATTATTTTAATATAAATACGTTAATAATTATTCTTTTATTTATAATTAGATAAAAATTAATTCATTAATTTATTAATATAATATAAAATTAAATTGAACTAAAAATTATAATTTATTTTAAAATATAGACTAGATTATAATTGAATAACCTTCTTGACTATTATAGAATAAATATTTTTTTTATCATTAAGAGATTTATAGTTAAATAGTAAACAAATAATTACTTTGATTTTTTAAAATAAAAATTCTTTAAAAATGAATTAAAAAGTTTTATAATTAGTTACAATATAATATCAAAATTTTTCTTCTTCTTACTATTATTTAAATTCAATTATATAAAATAAACTTAAATTTAATAAAAAATTGTTAAATTTATTTATGTGAAGTTAAAAGTATTAATAAATAAAATCAAATTATTATTTTTACACTTGAATATGAAAATTACGTATTTAATATATTTGTATACAATTATACATAAAATATAAAGAAAACATTGTCTCTTTTGATAAGAAGATGAGTTTTAATTATTTTAAAATAAATATTTATTCTCTTATATATATATATATATATATATATATATATATATATTAAATATATAATATTTATAATGCTTAGATTCATTAAAATATATTATTAGTTATCAATATTAACTTAAAATGTGTATCAGTCCATACATTTAATAAAAATTTGTCTTCTATAAATATCATAAACCACTTCATTGTTTTTTTTTTCAGTGATTTTTTTATTGCACTAATTTCAATTGTACATTTATTTTGTTTTAATATTATTTTACATATTTATTTATATATGTAAAAAAGATGTGATTATAGAAATTAATATCTAAAATAAATAAATAAAGATTATAATATTGATTTTTTTATTCTATATTAACAGATGAATTTTTTTAATAATAATTGTGTGATAAAAAAAATAAGTTTCTTCCCTTTGACTATAATATATTGAATTTCATTAAAAAATATCTTTCATATGAAATTTATATATAATATGTAATTTTTGTTTGAAAAGAAATATGATACTTTATTTTTATGGGATTAAATATTTTTAATCTACTTAAAATTTAAATTTATTTTATTTAATTATTATAAATTTAATGATACGAATCAAAATAAAATCTCGTATAAAATAATATCTATAATCATCTAAATATAATCGTCTGGATCTAACGATTTTTTATGAAAGAAAAAAAGAGAATTATTTTGTTTTAATATATAAAGAAGTTTTAAGTTATATAAGATAAGATATGTAAAATAAATAAATATATAATACATGGACTTGAATAAGTTTGTTTAATTAAATATAAATCATTTTTATTTAATTAATTGATATATATTTTTTATAAAACTCTTCTCTAATTCAACTAATTAATTTAAAAGTTTACCTTTTTCAATATTAAAATTATGAAAAATATAATAAATAAATATTTTTTATTAAATATAAAAAAATAAAAGCTTAATTTTTATATAAAATAACATCTGTTCACCAACTTTTTTTTTTAAATAAATTGAAAGAAATGTTATATTTTTTTTAAGTTTAACTTTTATCAGAACAATTTGTCTAATAAAAAATTGATTTTGTTCTATCATAAATAAAAATGGTCTAATCAAATTGATGTAGAAAATAAACAAAAATTCTCCAATCAAATTATTTTTATCTTACAATTAACTTTTTACTAAAAATATAGCATTTTTATTTAATTAATATACATTTAATCATATGATAAAATAATATATATTTTTAAAATAAATAATATGTAAAAAAAAAAGAGTGTACGGGATTGAATAATATATCTGAAATAATTTGAATACTTATGTATGTTTTAAAATAAATTTGATGTGAATATAATTGAAATGATTTTACTTTATTAATTAAAATAAAATTGAATTTTATATTAATAAAAATATAATAAATATTTTTATTAAATTATAAATTCTATCTTAATTTATAAGATACAATATAAAATAAATATAATTATCAAAAAGGTTAAAAGATATAAATATTTAA